GTCACTGGGGAGAGAAGGCGCCAATCTCATCACCTGTCAGGCAAGGACGTAGTACAGCAGTGGACAGTTTGCCAGTCCATCGCAGGACAACATATAGAGACACCACTATTTTTCCCCTCTCTCATAATTAGCATAAAACTTTGTTAGTCAGAGTCCAGAGCAGATCTTGGGTAAATATGAATGCATTAATGAGAAAAAATGCCTTAGAAATTACTGACTTTATTTTATTAATCTTGCAAGGTCCATACTGCGAGGGGCACAACTGTACATATGGCTGGGCACATAAAGAAAACAATGGCAACAATTACTTCTTGGCTTCAGTGTGACAAATGACACTTTAAGCATGGAAACCTTTGGATAAGACCGAGGTGGTAATAATTCTATTATTTCACATACATGTGATTCACCTGTAAAGATTTAGATGAAAAACCCACAGACAAAGAGAACAGTTTTATGTATATAAGGAAAAAAAACCCACAAATTACAGCGACATGTCCACACCTATCAGTGTAAAGAATAAAAAAGTCCCTTAATGTTAGTGGTTGCACTAAACACTGAACACAGAAAGTGTAAGGTGCCAGCAGTAACATTAAACGCAGCTTCACCATTTAACATTACAATGACGTTATTGTGTCTGAGACAAAAAAAAAAAGACTTCAGCAGCATCTACTGTTATACTCTACAGATGAAATTCCGATACAGCACAGAAGAGAGAACGTTCAGTAATTTCTTTTTCATGGGATACAAACAGTATTTAATTTGGTGACCCAAGGACTGATTCAGCTGGAATGCATAATTACAAACAAACTAGTTCCCTTTAATTGTATTTCGCTATCCCTGAGAACCGTATTCATAATGAAAAAAAACCATAAGTCTTGAATAATAAAACACAAGACCGGCTACAGATGAGCCTTTAAATATTTATAGTGGCCAAAGCGTGGGAGCTGAGCGCACAGAGCATTAAAAAACGCAATCGAGGTAATAATGATGGCTCTGAATCGTCGAAGATGCTCTGCTGGGTAAAGCTGGAGGGGGTTCGGAGACTCCACTTTTTTCAATACTCGTGATACGTGAAGTCATCGCCTTGAATGCAACAGAGAGGCTTGGGGAGCACTATACACAAGGCTGGGGGTCAGCAGGGAGATGGAAATAGGGGTAAAAAGGAAAAAAGTCCCATGGT